GACCATTTGAATCCGTATGTACGGTCCGGCTGCGGTCGGGGTCCATAGAACGAAATTCCTTTGACCCAGGGGTCATTGTGACCTTCGATCAGACCGCGAAATTCTTCTCGACCACTGATGGACAGGTTCTCAACCGATGGGACGAGGAGGGGATGCAGATCGAGATAGACTCGAGCTTCGGATCGGCCTCGAATCAGGGTCTGAAATTTGTCGAACCGGTCATCAAATAACGAATGATCGGGACGCGGTTGGTGCGTGGAGAGAAGCTTCTCGCACAATGTCTTGTCTTCTTTCACGAGACCAGCATCAGAGGGCCGCATAAAACTGCCTTTCGTCTCCAAGACCACCGGGTAGTTCACATCTTTGTACGCCGAGTATTTCTTGTCTGCTGAAACCGTGGATTCCGTGCCGTCACCGGATTGCGAAGGTCGGCGGCTTAACGAATCCGAGGACCGAGATCTTTTCGAGGGTGGCAGACTCATGGCGTCTTGGATATCGCATTCCTCGCTAGGTGGAACGCTTGATAACCACTTCTCCACAAAAGCACCGATGTCCGATGGTTGTAAAGGCGAGCAGGCTCTCTTTGCGGATGGGCGCTCGGTATGCCTGTCCGGCGATCTTGTCTTTCGTTCTGGTACGGGAGAGTTGGCAGGAGACGATTCGCGATGTAACTGCGTCACCTTGTCAGCATCTTTCCTCCTGTAGAGACCTTCATTGCATCCACTCACGTCGTCGGTTTTTGTGGCAGACGGAGATGGAAGTTGACGGTGCAGCTTCGAAAGAGGGATCTCAGGAGTGAGGTCTTCCACCAGGGAATCTGGAGAGGCGTGTCGAAGGTCAGATAAGCAGCGAATCTTGTGAGGACGGTCGCCGTCGTCGCTCTGCACGGCGTGTCGTTTGTCTAGAAAGTGTCAATGATCCATTGATCCTGCGTTCCCACTCGTTCGAAGCTCTTACCGTGCAGATTGGCCTGTTCGTGACTCTGCACATTCATGGCCCCTGTATCCGGTGATCCCATGTGTTACAGAGGAGAGCAAGCGCTCTCACATCAATCAGCACAGTGTCATGTTGGTCTCTTGAAGAGTTGAAGCCTTCGGGTCCGTTGGCACAGGAAAGTGCGCAGGCTGAGGCGAGTAGCACTGTCATCCAATCAAGTAGGCTAGGTTCGGTGTCACATGCGACCTGCGAGGGCGCTTATTCATCTAGGCTAAGGACAGGCTGCGCCGTCAATCACGACCACTTCAATCCCGTTTTGCTTTTCGCATGCGTGTCGCGACACAATCTTTGAACTACATGCGCCGACTTCATTTGAACCCATCCCTCAGAGGTTCAAAGACTGGCCGATGACGTGTGTGCGTGCTATTTTTTGACAAGGCCATTTTGTTTACACTATCGACCTCCGGCGGTCATCTTGACGAGTTCTTAACGAGTCTTGTCGCCCTCATCTTATCTCCCACTTCTGCCGCTTGAAAGACAAAGTGTGCTTTCTGGAGCGCGTAAGGAAGTTAAGAGACCGATAACCGTTCCATCCATTGAGACCCTCACTGTTTGAATCTATCTGTCGATTTCGCAGATTGGAGTATTGGCATAAAACGAAACGCCTTCCTCTGTTGAACACACTAGATCCAGTCAATATCGCTGACAAGTGGCCAGCAAATCTCATCGTCACCAATTCCCACCCCTCTTCTCTTTAATGGCTTTTGCCCACGACAGTCACCTCCCTCACCGAGAACAGCAGACCGCGACCCTGTCAAACTTGTCTCCAGGCGCCTCAACGTTTTCGGCCGTGGAACCTGCGCCTTCCATACGTCATGCCTGCTTCTTCTTATCCTCGCTTGTACCCTTCGCACGATGACCCTGGCCGCTACACCGCGTCATTCATTAACGTTTCAAATCGTTCCTCCTTTTCCACCTGATGGCTTTCCTCACTAGACTGCTCGATCTTATCCGCACATACACCTGGAGAGAGAACAAGGAGACAAAGCTCGATCGCTTCGACGGTGCGGTGCAGACTGGTCGGCAATGGCCACACAAGAGAATGTGCGCTGGCTGATAAGGTTGAGTTCATTGACAGTGACGCAGATGAAGCTGTTAAGATGTGGAAAATGCCATCAATGTTCTATCTATACATGCCTATTTGGTGTTCAGCCGCTGTCGAGATTAAGAGCAGAGCAGCTACCAAACTCAACAAGATGCAACTCGGAGATGACATGCTTCATAGTCTACAAACAAGGCGGTTCAAAAGCGCCGGCGGACATATCGTCGATGCATGAATACTGTCGTGGGTTATTATTGCCTGTCCGACTCGAGATTGTCGGTACCTGGGATCTTGTGGATTTGAGGACCTCCGCAGGCATTCAATACCTGCACGCACAGCACGATTCAAGATCGAGTTACTGAGCTCTTACAACGGTAGGAATAGACCGCATTTAACATGGACATCGCCAACCGCCATGAACCAGGACTCACCCTTCCTGGTGTGCAGCATTGGTGCTGCCTGCTCCGTGGATGGGGGTCTCACTCGTGCCAGAGTCGATCTGCTTTACAAGAGAATGCCGTGGCACTACTGTCGTAGCTGGTGTATCATCGGCGTGCCGACCTTCTACCGGCAATGTCAGACGAATGTTTAGCATGAATTTGTCATTCCAAGATTCTCCATATCAGACTACGACGGAGAGACACCGACTCAGACAGATTCAGTGTACTATACAGTACAAGACTAAAATAGGGCCGGCCAATTTACTGTACTGTCAGCTTCTGCCTTACAGTACTAAAAGAAGGGAGTGTCTCGCTTGTGTCACGGCAGTACATAATGAGGGAAGGCGATGGTCGAGAGGGGGGGTGAGTTGGTAGGAGACAATGCTGACGCCTGAGAGGGGTGTGACCGTCCTATTCGTACGGTACAGTCTTATGCAAGCACATGTCAGAGGCCGGGGGGAACGAAAAGTGGTCAGTGCGAGAATCCAGGGCTCCACTCCACCCATCCATTCATCCTGTCCTGCCCTGTTCCCTTCCCTCAGTCACAGCACTCTTCCTTTCTCCCTCCCTCCTTCTCCCCTCTCTCTCACTTGCCTGTCCTTCCTAGCTCTTTTCCACTTGTGTTCGTCCACAACACACGACTCGAGCGACGTGACCAGGCATGGCCATGTTGCTCTACCAAATACCAAAAGACACAGCTGGACGAGATGAGTGATAACCATGCCAAATCTTCCAATCCTACCCCGTTTGAGGAGCAGAAATCACCCTGCGACGGTCAGATCCTTGGTGCATTTTGGATTGTGTGTCTCCTTCGGGGAGACGCCTCTTTGAGTTGAACCTTGCCCTCCAGGTGAGCCTGACTCCAAGAGGATTGACTTTGCAAAAATGACTCACTTTCGAATGGCCGGCTGCTACAGTATTTGGAATCAAGACCAGGAGAACGGCATGATCCAGCCATTCTAGCTTTTGGCCGATCAATGATTTCTACAGTAATGCTTATTCCCTTTTGGTGCAAATTTCAAGAATAGTGAGACCACTCGAGGAAGAGAGGATGTGATTGTCCTGTACTGTACTGTGCGAGATCACATTCAGAGGACGGTCAGTGTGAGAGCATGTGGGCTCCACTCCATCTACCATTTTCATCCTGTCACTCCGATCAAACCCCTCTTCCCTTTCTGCCCATCTTCTACCCTTCATTCCTTCATTCCTCCCTCCCTTCCTCCCTTCCTTCCCTCCTCTCTCCTCTACCCTTTCTTCTTTCCTCTACCATTCCTCTCTTCCTGCCTGCCTCTGCCTGCCTCTGCCTGCCTCTACCTTTCCTTGCTCCCTTCCTTCCCTCCTCTACCCCCTTTCTCCCTTCAATGCCTCCCTTCTCATCCCTTCACAATCACTGAACGTCGCTTCTGTTCGTCTACACAAGAACTCATGCTACGTAACCAAGAATATGAGCTTTATTGCCGTTACAAAGTCTCCAAAGGACGCAGCTAAACGAGACCGGACGATGGACATACCAAAGCTGCACAACCCTATTCCGTCTGCTCAAGCGGAAACGCCCTGAGGCGGCCAGTTTCCGGTGCAAAATAGGAGGTGAAATCAACAATTTTTGATTTCCCGTTGACCTTTGCTCTTCAGCAAGACGACCAACTGAGCCCAAGACTCGCCCTCAAACAGGATGAGCAGTCAAAATTCTTGGTTCCTGGGTCGAAATAACGACGTGAAATCAAGTATCACTTTGTTGCTGCTTCTACCTGTCGTCCTGGGCATTTTCAGGACCCTCACTATGTTCTTCCTGGGTAGGAGCGCGCTCAAAAAGCGACAAAAGGCTGCAGTCATCGTGCAAGAAAGCCTCAGCATCCCAAAACGGCAAAAATGCAGAAAAAGTTGACAAAAGTTTCCGCACCCCTAGGGGTGCGGAAATCTTTTGTAAGTCTTGCCCGTATCTTCCCTCTGCCCTCAATGCCCTTCTCGTCTTCTTCCCTCTCTCTCACTCTCTCACTCACTCTCTCTCACTCCCTCACTCACTCTCTCTCACTCTCTCACTCACTCTCTCTCACTCTCTCTCACACACTCTCTTTCCTCCTGCCTCCGCCCTTGCTTCCCTTTCTCTTCCTAACTTCTCCCCTTCGTTTTTCTCCTTCCTGCGTGAACCCTTCCTTGAACGTCTCAACATCTTCTCTTCACAATGACTGAACATCATCGTTCCCTTGTTCGTATACGCGAGACATGAAATCACATGAGCAAGAGGATGAGCTATATTGCTGTCTCTGAGTCTCCAAGCCCAAGCTGGACGATATGAATGACGAGTGTGTCAATGCTGCACAGTCATGCTCAGTATGACGAACAGAAACCCGTTTCAGTTCCTGATGCCTTTGGACGGAATGGCCTCTCGGAGACTTGACCTCTGCAAGTCGACCTTGTGCTCTCATGTCGAGCTGACTTGCGGATGGACTGAGTTGAAAAGAAAGGCCCACCTCCCACAGGACCAGTCAACACGCCTTTATTTCAGCAACGAAATGAAGGCTTCCGAGGCTCACCGCAACTGCCCAATACTCCTATCCTGTGCACTATCCTCATGGGTGCTACTCATAGAGCGACAGAGGACGAACTCCCTGGGATGCGAAGGAACTGAGATGGTCCTCCAAATCCCACAGCGATGGAAAATTGGAAGAAAAATCGACATTTTTGTGCTCCACCTATTGACTCCACGATTTTTCTTCCAATTTTCCATCGCTGCCTGCCTCTCTCAAACCCCCTCTTGCTCACACCCTCACCCTCACCCTCTTCCTCACACACACGCACACTCTCTCCCTCACACACACCCTCTTCTTCTCCCTCACCCTCTCTCTCACCCTTTTGTTCACACTTCCTTCTCACCCCTCTGTTCTGTGACCGTACCTGATGGCAAGTACCCACATGTCAGGACTGGATGACAGGTTGTAGCGTGATCCGATATTTAAACCGTAAACTTTCAGCTCTCCCTTCCTGATAGGATATAAACTTCAAATCAATCCCCTGGTTCATGCAATTCTTACTGTGCTGCACCGAGCTTAACTTTTCATGATGCCAACTAGGGAGAAGGGAAAGCAACGCGACGTAGAAGGCATTTCTAGTGGCTTCTGATTTGGTCAATTACTATGGACAAGTGGCGCGAAGGCGGAAATCTCTCGCTCTCGTCGGTCTTATCCATATTCGAAATGGCTGGCGAAGTCAAACGGTTGGACCCAATGTTAGTTGTTTTCGAAGCTAATGTCACTCGCACGTTTGATTTACAAAAGTGGAATACGGTGCGACACGAGCAGGATGAGTAGAGTATTGACTGAGACCTCGCCTTAGTCTGCCTGAGCCATAGTTACAGTACAACATTGAAAGGACTCAAAAAATCTACTACTCAATGCAGCGCCCAGTGATGCCATACAGCCGAAATGACAAGACAACATCGCAGCATTTTTTAACCAAGCGATTACGCCCCGCTTCAGAAGCTGGGTCACATTTGACGTAGAGACCGTGGAGTTTTCTGGACTTCAACAACCACATAGCCCACATAGAGAAGTACCTCACTCTCGCCGTGCCTCTATCTTTTAAAAGCCGCTTCCCGAATTCCTGGTCTCATGGAAGTCTGTCATTGTCACCCCATCGTTGGAACTCATACACCAAATCGAAAACGTCTTGACTGCGGTTCCTTTACAGGAGCAGATATGGAATCTTCCGTCCATCCCGGTGCAACCCCTGATAGCTTGAAAGAGCTTTGGAATTCATTCGAGCGAGCATGCATGGAGTCTCTCACCGAACCGCCGACGGATATCGTCGACAGAGTGGCTGCTACACTAGAAGACGCCATATCCTGGCTATGCTCCCATAGTCCCCAAGTTTTCCTGCCGCGACACAGAGGCGACAGTAACTGTCAAGGCCCAAAGGTGAGCTCGTCCCAGCTACCCCCGAGATTGTTATCCAAAGTATCTCCTAAAAACATTTTCACTGAAGAAGCTACAGAAGCAGGTCGTCTCGACTTCAACAGGATTGCATCGTTTACCTGCCGGATCTCCTTTGACCGGCCGTTCACAGGCTCCATGGACGAGATTGATCCTCCATTGCCGGAAGACCCCATATGGTCAACGTTGTACCAATCAGAACAAGTTCCGCTGAAGCGAGAAAATAACCAAGAACCCTTCGAAACAGGCGGAGGCCCAGCGCCACGAGAAAATGTTCATATGGAACGAGTTTTCCGGAAAAGCACGCCAGTGTTGAGGCACTCGACCACGCACAATTCGACCACGCACTATTCAGGTTCACCTAATGCTGGACCTGTTGCAGTTTCTCGCTCGACTGCAACCTGTTATGTGGCTGGCGAATCATGTGAAGCTCGCGATTCTGGTGGCAGTCCCAGTTTGGCAGGACCGAATGCCGGTCAAGTGTGCTCGACAGGGGTAGAACACCCCGGTTGGTCACCGCAAAATGGAGCTTGTATCGTGCCGCAGTCAGGATATCAGGAGAACGGACAACAAGCAGGAAGACTGTCTCGGAGGGAAGGGGTTGATGATTATGACAACGACATGGTCAATGAAGAGGACGTGCGCGGCACACGTTCCGCGAATGGAAGGAAAAGAACATGTGCAAATCGAACTGTTCAATTCCCACGAAAGAAGGCGAAAGTGGAGCACACTCCAGAAGGATTGGCCGAGCGTTTCGGGACGAACAATCGGGGTGCGCTCATCTCTACCTTAAAAGAAGAGTGGCAAGATATTACTTCGCAACTTTTACCGGATATGGATACGACCGCGTCGATTGGCATGTCTCAACGCCACGACGTACCAAGCTTCGTCAACTTTGTCCTACAACAGGGTCGTTTACTGGAAAGGAACTCGCTGAGAGCCGAAGTTCAAAGCTTGAAGAATCGAATAGACCTTGCACACTACTATCAGCTTTTGTGGCCGCCTCCAACGATACCCGGAAAGGCGCCGACTCTCCCTTCTTGGCCTGGATGCGGGAGTGGTATCGACGACGTGGCAGGTCACCGTCCCTAGCGATGGGCCAAGGCAAGGGCGCGTCCACAGTGGTCAAGGATTGTCTTGTCGACCTCCATCTCTCCGATTCAAGATTTAAGGGTGTGCCCCCACGAAGCATGAGGCGCAGAGTCGAAAAATGGCGTGCCATCGGGGGATTTTGGTCCAAGCTGATCGAAGGCTTTGGACCTGGCATGTTACTTCTGGCCCCTTCCCGCGAGCCAGACTCCCGGTAAGGCCGTTGCCATTTTGACGTACTGTACAGAGTTTTTCGGGATCCTAGTAAGACCGCTGATCTGATCGCTACGTAACAGATATGAATTCGGTGAACCCGGACGAAGAGCCTTCTTGACAGCTCTCACCCAGCGGAGGAGTGCCTTCGACGCAATTTTACCTGAAGCTAACTAATTCATGAACCAAAAGTTTCGCCACCAATTTGTGCCTGTGTCTATAGACACATCATTCCCAAGTTTTCCAACACTGGCAGACGATCGACAAGGACATCAGCAGGATGATTGGAAGAAAATTTGAGACCTGCTTGGAGGTCGGCTCTGAAATCGCCGATATAATTTTATGGTCTCGTCAAGTTGGACATCGCACCAGACCACGGCACGATAGATCTCGTTTTACAGTAACTTCTGCGTATTCGAGGCGGATCTAGCCTTTTGTAGATGAAGAATGAAGGTTAAACACAAAGCGAACTAGACAAAGTATTCAATTCTACAGTACATTTGGCAACCGCTGCCGAGTCTGCAACCATTTACCTAGAGCCAGACGCAGATTCGCAGTCAGCAGCCGAAAAATTCACCCTCTGGGCCTGTACTTTATCCTATCCACATTGAGACATTAAAAATTCCCATTCGTCTCGTAAAACCTTAACATTTTCAGTGGACAGTGAAGCGCCAGCCATTCGGTGGTCAAGACACGTCTCTGCCCGTCGCTGGTCTTCGCGACAGCTGCCGGTTCCCCAGAACTTGAGATGTGTAAATCTTCCACTTCCACCACCTCTTGCTCCCAGTCCGTTTGAAGAACCTGGCTCATGCAATCGACGTGGAGGGAGAAGTTATCATGATTGATAATTCTCTCCGCCGAGCTGCAGGACTTGTTGGCCGACTTTGCCGAAGCCGGTCGATTTGTGTGTCGATTAGGCTTGTGGAATGAAAGCGGCGTCGATCCGACGAGGTAATGATGAACGAGCATGTTAATCAAGCAGTCACTGCAGTCTGTCAACCTAAGTGTGCTTTGGTTTCATTGAATTTTTCAAAATTCCTTACGGGAGGAGGTTTTCTCTCGGTTCCCAGGTGTTTTCGGCATCTCGATAACCCAGCCATTTGATTTCATACAAAACTTCCTGGCGATCCAGGTCGTATTTGGAACGTTTGATATATTCGACGTGAAAGCTTTCCAACTGACCTTTTGGTCGTGATTTCTCTGTCGGCGAGCGGTGGTGCTCTTGTCGACCCATGTCGTTTCCGATGACGGGCAGTTGACCAACAAGACTGGCGTGTGTCTCGGATTTGGACCGTTCGAGTAGAACCTCTACGAGACGGCTGCGTAGATTAGGTCGCGTGGACAGCGTAACTGTACTCTCATCTTCGTAGCTGTAGTCTTTGCCTTTGTGGGCCGTCTCTAGTATTTTGGGATCTGTGGCGTTCGCCATGTCAACGGCTGCGGAGTTGTTTATCGATCTGTGAGATAGTGATATACTCAATAGCAATGCTACTAATAAGAGCCACGCAACTGGAAAGAAGAGGGCTTGGAAGATTATGCTACCCTCCATGTATCTTGTAACAGCAAAGCCGGACCAAGATATTTCGAAGGCGTTGCTTATATAGAAGGCCGACATATGTACCACACTATCGACACATACGGAGAGCTTCGAACTCAGGACGGAATGTTGATTCCACCCAAAAATAAGCACTAACAGCAACGGGTACTCTCGAACGTCCAAAGCTGTGAATACGATATGCAGTATTGCTGCCAAATTGTCTCTATACCACAAGGTGCTGCAGTACAGCAGAGCCAGGGAGGGGTGCGTAACAAGGTAAAGATAAGATGGAAATATATTTTCTGTCAAACTTGTCTTAACCATCGTGCTTTTCTTGAAGTCTGACACTCCTCCTGAATCTCTGAGACGCATGCAATTCGGCACTCCAGTCACTAGCCAGTCTCCTTTGATTAAATTGGTCGTTCTTCTCTTCATCCTCATCATTGCAGCATGTTTCTTTTCTTGGGTTGAGGTTACTGGATCTTCGCACAGGATGGTCCTCCTAAGAATGATTGGTGATTTACCACTGAATTGCAGTTCTTTTCCCGCAATGTTATCCCAGAGCATTGAGCAAGGCTTCTTCACAGATCGTGCGAGGGAAGAAACGTAAACCAAAGAAGCTAAATCGAGATACTGTAATACCTTGACAAAACTCACGCATGAAGATGCACCATATAAAGTCCCGCTAGGTTCCATCGATTCGCGTCTTGGCCAGCAGGTGCAGTTATAAGCAGGGGGTGTTCCTGGCAACAATCATCAAAGTATATCACTTGACGCCCTAGGATGATTTAGCAGCTAAGCGATCGTCTCCTATTCCTTCATTTAACAAGTTTTGGGGCTGACTTTTATACAGTGGTCCACGGACTCGATGGCACATTTATTTGACCTCCCACACGAACTTCTTTTTCTGGTTGTCCAATACCTGTCGATCAAGCCTTACGGCACCAGTATCACCTGTGGCAACTTGTTCGCAATCTCACTGACTTCGAAACGCTTTCACGCTGTCGCACGAAAATTGATTTACAAAGCCGTATTTTTGCCTTCTCCAAGAGCCGCAGTTCATTTCGCTCGGACCCTCACAGAACATCCTGATCTAGGATTGCTGGTTCAATACTTCGAAGCAGGAGCTCTCGAGCAAATTGAACTCCAGGCCATTTCCCATCGCGACCAGAGACCGAGTGTGCAGGGCACAACAACTGCTCAAGAAGAAGCGCAAAGATATTTCCTGCTACCTCTGAAGAGGTGGCATTCGACCTTTCCACAGGTGGCTGAGGATCTTCGTTTCAACAACGGCGCAATCTGGATCTCATCCATACTTTCTCAGCTGCATCGTCTTGTGGAGGTCGAGCTGCAGCTCGGAAGATCAGCACAGTACCTGAACAGGTTGATAAAATGGTCCAGCGTCGATGCCAAGGGAGGGCTCCCATTCAAAGAATTAGCCAGTCTCAGCCTTTTGGCCAACGAAGACGCTGGCGTGGACGTGAAGTCTATTCTCCGGCTGCCCTCCTTGGAAATATTCAGATCTTGGAGTCTGCGCGGGTACTCTCTTCCGAACACGGTCGGGGATATAACCTCGCCTCTCCGTTACCTTGGTCTCTTTCATCCTCACATGGATGAAGCTGAGGTCGCGTCGTTGCTTCGCTGCTGCCAAGATTTACGCCAGTTCGAATTGCAACCTATTTTGGGTATGACTCCGGGAGTGCCATGGTATCATGCCAAAGCAGTGGCACAGGGGATCAGCGCAGGGCTCTATCAATGTCAACAGAACCTAGAGGTATTGACCATCGATACCTGGACCACCTCTACACCGGCTCAGCCCCTTGATCTCATTGGATATCGACATCTTACCAAACTCACATTACCAGCCACAGAAGCCGTGAAGGTGGAAGATGGTTGTGAGCCTCTTGCACGAATGGTCTCATTTCCAACGTCGTTAAAATTCTTGATCTTGGTCATGGCCCAGCGTGGAAGAAGTGACACTCTTTGCTCGGCACTACATCAATACGTTGAAAACGAACAGGTCTCGCCCGTTCTCAGGACTTTGGATGTCATCTGGGAGCGCAGTCGTACCTACAAGGCCCCTGAAATGACAAAAGTTGAAAGTTCTTGTGCATGTCGTGGAATTATCTTCCGTTCAAGGCTCTCTCATCGATAGATTGTTGACAAAAAAAAGATATCCTCACTGCCCTCCTCAGGGCTCAAAGGGCATTAGAATCAATAAGCGAATGCGAAGGAATAATTGGCCCATTGTTTTCAGAAGAGGGCGTCCGCTTTCATTGATCTTCCTGTTAATTCTCCTCGATTTCCAGCCCGAAGATTGCCCATCGTTCGAGTTCTTGACAGATACTGTACTGTCTCTTGGCATGAATAAAACCCACCATGTACGTACATACAGGAACGTACAATACAACAGAACTATGGAAGGACCAAAAGTTATCATTCATCATACGAGAATACCCACAATAAGGGTAGGATAAAATTAGAAAGACAATCCAAGCGGGCTCCTTTTTTGGAATTACCACGAGCCTATCCTGGGAATGGCCCACCGATGGACAGTCAACTTTGCTCTCCCCCGAGGACAAGCAAGAAAGATGATCTGGTCCCCTGCTGAAGTTGCCTTCGAAGAGCTCTCACTCCCTTCTCAATCCCCTTGTCAAGGCTCAGATTACATTACTTCTTAAAACGTACTCATACTTTTACTATAACTATCGATGGACCCGTAAAGCGGTAATCTAGAATGATTCAACCTTGCCTGACTACATTCTCACCTGCATTATCAGAGTGTCGAGCCTGCCAGGAACCTGATTGACGAGGAATGCTCTTTCCCACCGGACGATTCGTGACTGGACCGTCATTCGATGGACGACGTATCGCCGATTTTTCTCACCGGGGGGAGGATCTCCTCCCTTATACGCTCATCCCGCTTTGACCGAGAAGTGCTCGAAGATGTTCAAGCCACCCTTCTTCGGGCTGAAAGCTTGCTGTATCAATGTTCAGGAACACACTCTCCTAGCCGCGGCTCGGCTGCGAGTGAATTATCTGGCCCTGACGCGTCGATTGCGAGTGACAAAACCACCACGGACGAGTCTCACCTTTCCGCTGGTTTTCACACCGCAGTGTCAAGCCAAGGTGACCTACCTATCCTTACTTACACTGGCAGTTGAATCAACCCCTTCATCTACGAATGCCGTCACCACAATAGGCCAATTCTTCAAGTACGATCTCTACGCCGCGGATCAAACAGCACTGGTAGATGTGCCCCTACGGCAAGAAGACACACGAAGGGAATGCGATCAGGGGTATGGCTGGGTCAACATTGTCTATGAGGACACGGATAGAAGGACTCCCCTCAGGAAGAGGAAACCACGACACAAGGAACCCAAGCTTTTGTAACCCAGGAGGCGAGTCATGTTAATAATGCAAGTGCTGACGAGTGCACCCAAGCGTCACTAAACGGAGCATAATCTTGCTGCAATAGATAGAAGAGCTGATATTCCCAGTGATTGATTGGCATATGGTTGAGAGTGAAAAACAACGGAAGGGTTAGGTGCGCCATAGTTCTGAGATGGGTGCGAGGCTGTAGCCCCTGACGCTAAAAGCTTGGCTTGGCGATCAACCACAATCTACAGATCATCAATAAAAATTTCCATCGACGCGCACAGGCCCTGATGTATTGTTACTGTATAGGTGGGTGAGGCACTGGGTGTGAGTGAAAGGGATTGAAGGCCAAATTGTGAAATGTAAAATCTAATACCTTAAACCTGCTGTGTCCGGACGTGTTTCCTCCATCGAGCAGGCTGAGAGAATAATCAAGACTTATACCCCACGAAAAACCAATTTAAGTTCGGAATCGCACGTCAGCACTACTACAGTAAACTTTACTGCGCCGAGTGCCTCTATACATACTCATACCAGATTCTTCCCCATTGCCAATTTTGATTTCAAACTTAGGTCAATCTTCAAGTATTGTATTTCTAATATTAGAACTCAGAGCATCGAGTGTTCAGAAAGTGGTCACATCTAGACCTTCGAGCCCTAAGGATTGACACTCTATGTCTACGAAGGACTTCACATATAATTACCGCCAAATTTCTCTTGAAGTCGCCCTGGCTACCATTTCCACAGGACTATATTACCACATATCTAAGAACTATTGTTGTACTGTACTGACAAAGTCTGTAACATGCACGAATTCAAACGACTTTTAGTGTTTCTTATAACCTCTGTGCAGCTGGTCATGTCTACGCCTTTCGATACGCCAAGCCTTTTTCGCCGTCAATGTCCTGGTGATGCACTTACCGTCCTCGAAGGTTCTACTTGCGACATGAGCCAGGCAGATGCCCTGGCATGTTCGGACAATTGTTTTGACATAGTGAGTCATATGCGTTCAAGGGATCCATCTACAGCACTAACTATTTCCAGCTTCAATGTACTCAACAATCTTCCGATCCAAACACGTGGCTGACTTCGACCATCACTGCTAATACCCCGTTCACTTGGACTTCTATTGCACATTGTGGATTTCCATTCTGTCAGGTAGCAGATGACCATTATGTTTGTATGGGTCCGCTTGAGGAGAACTAGCTATTTTCTTCGATTCTTCGGAAAAGGAATTTAGTGTTGGTTATTACTTAGGATGTAAGCTTGGATACTGTAATAATTGGACAGATCAGTGAGATGATCTAAGCGAAAAGGAACGTAAATGGCCGAAGAATATTTTTTGGTCCTAAAACTCGAGGCATATAACTTCACGACCTTGGAAATTTGCAGGAACAACCCAACTTAATTTTTAATGTATGTAAACAGTTCTGTGAGGAGTCAGAGGCTAAAGCAATTCCACGATTGTGACTATTTAAATATCCAACGTACCTCGAACAGTTTCTTACCACCCACAAGTCTGCCTTACACCTCCCTCATAACCATGCCCATACCCATGCAGCCTGGATCCCATCGGCACCTCGCTCGTTCGGCCCAGAATAGAGAATCACGTATCGATTTGGGAGCTATCGGGAATGAACCCGGCTCCAAGTCATCGACCGCTCCAAACCACCTCGAGCAGATCGCCAGGACAGCGGAAAGGATCAACACATCATGGAAAAAATTGTCCCCCGCCACTGACATGGGAAGAGATATCAAAAAGGGAATTGGAAAACAGATTGAAAAGGCCACCGAGCCAGGGATGCTGAAACCTAGCGCATCTGCTCCCCGCCAGACGCCTCCCGGCGTGAGAGCGATTATGCTGACGGTCCGGCACGAATCACCGTGGAAGATGTACAAGCAGGGATATGAGCTCAAATTCGAGGACTTTGTCACCGTCGCCGTCGGTTTATCTCCGAATTCAGGCAAGGTTGCCATAAAAAATTACAAAAGACGTGAAGGGGAAAGAATCCTCGACATGTTGAACACAGTTCGCCACGAGAAATTTATCAGGGTGATGGAGGTTTTCGAGTGGGAACAGACGTACTTTGCCGTCTTCGAACACGTTTTCGTCTCGCTGGAGCAAGTGGTGGCTTGCCCGGCTTATCCAACTGAGCGACAGCTGGTCGCCATTCTGGCACAGGTGTGTTGACGTCCTAGGTGCTGATGGAGACCTGTTCTCTGACTAGATTAGATTCTGGAAGGTCTGTGTTATTTGAGCTCAATCGGGCTCCAGCACGGCTCGTTGGCATGCTCAAACGTACTACTGAAGCCGAGCGGAGACATCGTCCTGGGTGAGCCTCCAACAATGGCCGTATAGGGAAGGACTGATCGATTGCAGCCAACCAAGAGTACTGTTGTGCCGCTGAGGAACCAAACACGGCCGATGTGAGGGCGGTCGGCTATATCGCGATGGAACTAATGCAGAAGTATGTAAAAGACGATGGAGCTATCGGAATCGAGAATCCCAATCGCTGGACCGGGAACTCTCCATCCGTTGGGTTTTTGTCGATGACTACTTCTGCAGAGTCCGTGACGGAACTGCAACAGGTGAGGACTTGTGAATAAAAATATTTCTGACAGCTACTGATCCTCCAAGCACAACTTGTTGCAGCGTTCATGGCGCAAGGAGGACTTGGTGTTGTTGGAAGAGCTGGCTTCGTTCTCCGTTCGGAGAGCCTACAGATACTTCGATTGAGGTCCGGAAGCATTAAATCTAAGTATTCTTTGCTATGCATGATGAGAAGCTTTCAAATCGGTTGGCGATATGACGCTCCCTCAATCTCATATAGGAAAACCGTCCCAGACAAGCCTCACATGTAATACCATTCTATGTGAATTCCCGACCTGCGTTTGAGTTCGGGGAGATTCTGGATGTCAGACCCCATCACAGACCGTAATTCTACACATACGTTAAACGAGATAGAATAGTGAAACTTTGTCACTCCTAAGGCGCATTGCATTTCAACTAAGATCTAAACATAGCACAGTGCTGGGATGATCATCTTCTCCTGAGCTATTTAATCTTCAATCTCGTCCTTCCCAGCCATGGCCTGTTAGGCATCTTCCCCAGGGCAATATTCTCTTCGAACGATTCATCTCTCTCCCACCATGGATACTACTCAGATCTATGCGGTTGTTATCGCTGGCATTACTCTGATATTGCTATTGCGAACCGGGGTTTCCTCGTTTGCCCCCAGGCTCATTGCCACCGCTTCCTGGATACACCAATACTTGAGATCTACCTATGTTCTCAACCGTCACACCTTTATGGGTCCCTGGACTGTGACCGCAGTCTTGCTGCGCGTGACATATCTGGCAGTCAACGTGGTGTGTTTGGGTGTTGGTGTCGCCGATCTGTCGCATGCTGGACGCCGCGCAGGGACGTTGTCAGTCATCAATTTAGGTCCGTTGTTAAGTGGTCTCCACCTCAACTTTCTGGCCGACTTGTTGGGTCTCTCTGTCGGCGCCGTTCGAGATGCCCATCGTACGGTCAGCTTCTTGGCTTTTGGACTGGCCGCTTTTCACGTCATCGTGGCCGCCGTGACCGAGCGGGCGTTATTTCGGAGAGAACTAGAGAAACCGTTCGTGGTCATTGTGAGAGCCTCCTTCCCTCCTGCTTTTCTCGCTGCTAATCTACCTAGGCGGCTTTGGCATTCTGTATACTCATTATCACTCCACGACGCTTGGTCCAGAAAGCGTCCTATGAGATCTTTATTCGACTTCACCAGATTTTGTCGCTTCTTTGTGCTGCTTCAATCTGGGAACATTTATCGTCAGTACGGTCTCCGGATCGATTGTATCTTCTCATCTTTCTTGCCTTAATGGCAGTGACATTCGCTTGCGAAGCCGTGTTGGTTCTTGTCCGGAATGGATGGTCGTTCCGTAAACGCTCACGGGTCACCGTCACGAGCTTGTGTGGGATGCTGAAATTGAAGGTGCATCTCTGCAAACCTTTGAAAATCGAGCCTGGCCAGTACATCAATCTATGGATGCCCTCCGTAGGCCTCGGAGCCTTTTGGCAGAACCATCCGTTTATGGTCGCCTCTTGGTCCACCGAGGCGCAAGAATGTCTGGAGATTTTCATCCAGCCACGGCGAGGCCTGACGAGAGACCTTCTTCACATTGCTCGCCCAAATGGACCTTTCGAGTGCAAATGGGCCATGTTTAGCGGACCACATGGTCACACTGTCCCGGTTGGTCAGTACGAGACAGTTGTGTTGATCGCTGATGGAGTGGGAATCGCCTCTCAAGTGCCATACCTGAAGAAACTGATTCATGGCTACCACCATCGTCGCGTGGTCACTCGTCGGATCCATTTGATCTGGCAGATCAGTGATATTGGTAGGTATTCCGACTTCAGACCAGACTCCTGCTGACCATCTCAGATGTCGGCATTGCCGCGCAGCCTTTTGTGAACGATGTGTTGGATGAAGACAAGCTGGAGAGCGGTGGTGTACGTGATTTGTCACTTCATTCTTCCCCCGTCACTGATCAAATGATAGATCCTCCAGGTCTCCATCTACGTCAACCTCGACGATATTTCGAAGATCTCGTTTGGGAGACGAAGCACCGTCTACCCTGGAAAGGCCAATTTCGACGAGTTGGTGGAGAAGGAGTTAGCTTTCGAAGGTGAATCTCGAGACGACAAAACCGAAGGCTTTCCCGGAAGTCTTCCCTCAACCCCAATTCCCCCGGAGTATAGAACGCCATGTAAGCGGTCCTCATCTCTCTTCTAGATTCAACTTGACCGAATTCAGACGTGCCAGATCTGGCGAGACGAAGTGCTCTTTCCGAGTATTCGACCGACGAGTTCATGCAACCATGGACAAACGTGCCACTCCAGAATGAGGGCGGCGTACCTCACCCGCTCACACAGGATAAGCGGCAAGTGTCCGAATTGCGGCAGACATCGCAGGGCTCGACCCTCATCCTCAGTAAGTCTAATCGTTCCTGAAAAATAGCACAAACTGATCCAATTCAGTGTCGGCATTTGCGGAAACTCATGACGTTTTGAGGAGATTGGCACGACGGCATCTTCATGAAAAGGTGACCTTGGTCGAGACGGATTTCCAACCCTTCATGAGATAGATCTAGAAGGAGGCCACCAAGCCGCATCATAGGTTCTCTAATCTCAGATTAGCCATGACAAAAAGATGATTCCGTAAATGAACCTAACGGAGACGATCTTTTCTTAAGTCAGAATAAGGTTAATATTGGCATTACTTCGCCCATGTCCACATCACGTAAGCAATACTCACCTTTCCTCCAATGAAGATTAAGATTTACTTGGCATGCATATCATGTATAAAGACCGTCGCGTTTTCTCCGGGCAGAACTGGAAACTTTGGGCCTGTAGAGCATATTCGTCCATTAAGGCTGTCTCTTCTCCTTTGACCGTCTCCGCCCCCATTCGGTTACTTTCGCTTTGTCTCTTTTCTCGAGAGACTGGGTTCGTGGGACACTTGCCCAAACAGAATGAATTTCCAAGGCCTGCTTCTCCCTGAGATATGGACGGAAATCTTCAATATGATGTCCAAGGAACGGCACTTGTGTGAAGAAAATCATATCAAGAGTGTTCGTCTTACATGTCGACTATCCAACTAACTTGCGACCTCTTTTCTCATGTCTGAGATGTCTTGTGCGCCTCGGTCCTCCAACTTGAGTAGGCTTACAGCCGTATCGCAACACCCTGTTCTCCGTCGATGATGGATCAAGTCGATCGTCCATTCTCCGACACGATATAAGCGTTAGGAAACGTTGCTCGATTTCAAACAGCATTACAATATTCATCCCCCGCTCCAGTACATCTATCTCGTTACGAAGTGAATGAGTGGAAATCCTCTTGGTTTCGTGGTATGTCGAACACCAAAACACTTCTGATAAACGATGCGGCTCCGGGCCAAAAATAACTATCAGTCATAGTCTAAATGAACACCACATACAGTACATAGGAAAAAGTCAAAACCCCACCCCAAAGGCGGTTCACCGACCGAAGATGTCTGGAACCATGTTAGAACTCCAAGATGCTGTCCGCTTATGTCTCATGCAGCCTGCAACGTTTGACCCATAAAGGAATGTCCTTCACAAATCGCCGAGCGATGCCTTCCTCTATTTCTCCTTGCTCAACGAGGAAACCAGGATTCTGGTCCTCATAGACCAAGTCGAGGTCGAAGGCTTTCTCGAGAAGAAAGTCGGCTGCTTTTTGATATTCATGTTTATATGATTCGTTCTTCACCCGAGACTTGAGCCAGTCACAGTAGTCTTGTAAATTAACGTCGTGGTGGCCCGCGATGTCGAGACGCATGGTTTCGGGCCACTGCATGCTCTTTGACTCTGTCGAAGATTGAGGAGGCAGAGCGTTGGTGAACTAGATGAGGTCCTGTCGAAAGAAACAGATCTGCTGTTGACACGTTTCTTCCGCGGGTATTTGCGTCGAAGGCTGTCCGGGATGTCGTCGTGAGATTGAAGACGAATTTTATCCTCGACATACCTGACGAGAGTTCGTAGATGGCTCGCTTTCAATATGTACAATTTCTGAGATTCAGTGTCGCACCAGCACCAGAAATGATGGATACCGGGTGGCCCCGGACAACGCATTAGGGCATAGACCTATCGTCAAGTAGAGGGATTGGCTGTTGTGGGTTCTTCGAGGTCAACTTGAGCGGCACGGTCAGCCAGCATGTGTGGGTAGCCAACCCCCCAAGTTTCGTAGTTTTAGTCGCTGCTCTATTACAGTAAACTTGGTTGAAGGTTGTAATTCCCTGGGTTATTAAGCTCTATATAGTGTCATTTGCCACATACAGCGTCTACATGGTGCATACTGTAGTTCAAATTCCCTTGAAGCGCGGACAGCTTCCAAATATGCACAGTAAGTCAACTGTCAATTCATACATAAATCACGCAAGATCCGCGTTTGGAGACCACCTAGTAATAATGGCACAGCCAAACAATTCCTCAACGTGGCAAGCTAGACCACCTTACCGGCCCTATTCGCGATGTTGACAGGGTGGAAATAAGAAGTACGCCCGTCAGTCTCAACATCCTCTGTATATGCAACAGCGATCGTCTGAAGAGCAATGAGGAGATTCCTCACCGCCGAATGGTACGCCAGCATCTTATACGCACACAATCCCAGGTGCTCAAGGACCACTGCAGACATCTCCAATGTCGCCTACTGCTCAGGTTTACTCGTTCATGCCCGTTTCCGGTAATCCTCAGCACAAGCGACCCCGCCAAGGATACGAAGAGATAGATAGATTGTACAAATGTGGCTGGAATGGCTGTGAAAAGACATATGGCACCTTGAATCACCTAAATGCGCACGTGAATACACAATCCCATGGTACAAAGATAACACCAGAAGAATTCAAAGAGACTCGCAAAAAGTGTAAGGCCCGTAAGATGGAGGAGGAAGAGCGACGAAGACAGGTGGTCGCTGAAGCCTGCAAATTGACGATGCAGCTGGAGATGCAGACCGAGCTCCGAAGCCAAGTTATGAACGGAACGGAGACAGACCTTCGCTTCCTCCTATCGACACTCAATGTGCAGACAGACAAACTCAGGGGCGAAATTGTCAACATCAAGGCGGAATGCTCTACTCACATGAAAATGGGCGGATGGGCAGCTATGCTAACTATCTCAGTTGTTTATATGGCCCACATGGTCAGATCTACCGGCAGCGTCAAGGTCAAAGCAAGTGGCTATTTGATGGCTTGTAAGTGTAGGCCTCTTAATCTCAATGATTCCATACTTGCATGACAGTGGCGCAGTGTCTCTTTGTTTTCCCCATTGATTAAATCACTTTTTTGTTCACTTTTTTGTTCACTTTTTTGTTCACTTTTTCTCAGAACTTGACGGATGGGAAATGGCACGGTGCTACAAGATGTTAGCCAAGGATATTAGCTTAATATGGCCGAAAGATGGACCTCTGAGTCGACAAACTCCATTTCCCTGGCCCACAATTATCAGAGTTTCAGAATTCATTGCGTAGAGACGGGGCTGAAAGGGAAGAAATAGTCAGTCACAGAGAGGAGTTCAATACGAAACTTGAAAAGGTCATCATACTGTATCGAGGAACATTACCAATAAATCACAACAGCCTCAGTGAGCTCAGGGGACGAGCCCGGAACCGGCGGTGGTTTGGCGTCTTCGCCGTGCAGGGAATATGCAGTCGGAGGAACTACGGTGCCTGATGTCAAATCCACGTGGTTACTTCCTTAGCAAGTTCGTCAGATACTGTATACTGTAAGAACGTTCATCGTACTATATAACAAGACCAAGTAGGTAGGATTTCCCAACTCTGTAAATCGCGCGGCATTCTTGACCCAGAATTTTTGCCACTTGGACACATTTAGCCCTGGGGAATTTCGTCCTCCAAAAAGTTTCCCTCGCCATGCGGACCAGCCGAGCACGACTGGAGGATGCAAAGTTCGAAACGGAAAGGCGCAGGCAACATCGAGGGACTGCACGTATTTCTCTTGATATTTTAAAGTTTCAATTCGAGGATCACGAGCAACTTGATAAAGACAACATTGACCGTCTGAAGGGCATCTACCGACGCGAAGGATGTCGACCACACTTTATCAACAATCGTATTTTGGTCGAAATTGATGAAACATGTTTCGAGGCCGCCCTTGCTCTTTCAGGTGTGGCAGCAACGGAGCTGCTCACCCCCCGAAGAGATGACTACCCGGAGCTTCGATTTCCTATTGGTGCAGAAGTCATCTGCCTCCATGGAAAGCACCGTATCCAAGCCGGTCGCGAATTTTTGTCTCCTCGGGACAAATGGTGGATCGCTGACATCTATCTTGGTGGTGAGTTACAAAGCACGATGAACGCTGTGGACTGATGTACGGGCCAGGGCTGTCGACGGATGTGAAGCGCGGCCTCGTCGAGGAATACGCGAACGAAAGCATTCCCACGGACGGAATGATCTTCTACAAGATCCGCCTGTACCACTTTCAGCGCAACCTCAGCTTTGAGTCGAGATGGTGGGCTCGCCTCCGAGGCTGCCGGAGTCGTAATTTGAAAGCACTGTTAAAGCACCCTGAACTCACAGCAGCTTTCGACGCTCTGCTCGATGTACCCGGCCTATGGGGCGGAATGTTACTTACAACGCTTCACAAAGTGCTGGGACTGAAGTCTGACGACGTAGGTGGTGCTACCAAACATTGACTTGCCATGGACCGACTTGTCGCAGGAGATACTGAATTATCTTGAACATATCCGACGATTTTGGCACGATTTGGTTGATGGTGACCCCAGTGCCATGCAAAGGTTTGATCATCGAGACGTGAAGGCGCTGGAGCTCCGAGCTCCAGGTGTTTCCACACATGATGCGGAGGAGATTGAAGCCCAAATCCGTGCCGGTCGAATTCTGAGAGCCTTCAGTGAGGAGGAGCGACGGCACATTCTTCAGCGATTATGCGGATTTAAGTACCTGATCCCATCCCTGCATACATTTTTCCGGGATGTCACCTACTGGGAGGCGTGCGTCGGGAGCGTCAAGCACTTGATGACGTTATCGCGCCGCGACACGATCTTATCGGCCTTTGAAGGCCGATTTAGCGCCACCAATCAACACGATGACCGAGTGGTGATCCAAGTGGGTGAGTCACGGTTTGAAACACTTCAAGGCCCGCGCGACGCACAGATAGACCTCAGTTTCCGCCAGATCATCGCCTTTGCCATGAGACACTTTGTCGACATCCCACGGGAGCCGATCAGTGACGATGTGACCGTCAGACCTCGTGTGAAAGCTAATCGAGTCACACTGCGCCAGTTCGCGGAATTGGCCATTCGTGTCGGATTCGAGTCACCTGAAATTCGCCGGCTTTTGGATATGGAAGAATTGCTGGATTCTCCCAATGCTCCGGAGTTGTCCAGGCCATTACTCGTCACTTCAGGTCCTGGTGAAAAGCTGCAACGAAGATGCGGGTTACCCAAGTTGGACAATTTTCAGAACGATCAGAATTTCTTATTCCTCCCCCACCTGCACAACCAGCAAGATGACAATGGTGAAGGCATCACGTCATTTTTCGTCCTCAGATCCTTTTATTCCGCCTTCATGGGACCGTCGGATCTCCTAGACGACTTGTTGGCTCAGGTATGGAATCAATTAGTGACTTCTCAGCATAACGTTGATGCCGCTGAGCAGCACTCTCGGCAGGAAGAACAAACACGGGAAGAACAAGCCCAACAAGAACAACGTGAACAAGAACAACGTGAACAAGAACAACGTGAACAAGAACAACGTGAACAAGAACAACGTGAACAAGAACAACGTGAACAA